ACTCTGCCTGTCAAAAAAAAAAAAAAAAAAAAAAAAAAAAAGTTACAGAGAGAGGTAGAGACAGAGGGTCTTCCATCTGCTGGCTCACTCCCCAAATGGCCATAAAGGCTGGAGCTGAGCTGATCCAAAGTCAGGAGCTTCTTCCAAGTATCCCATGTAGGGTGCAGGGGCCCAGAGACTTGGGCCATCTGCTGCTTTCCCAGGCCATAGCAGAGAGCTGGATTGGAAGTAGAGCAGCCAGGACTCGAACCGGTGCCCATATGGGATGCTGGTGCTGCAGCCCAGGGCCTTAACCTGCTATGCCGCAGCGCTGGCCCCTGAGGCAAGTTTTTAGCACTGCTCTCTGCTCTTCTCAGATCCCATCCCAGCCTGTTGTCTGATGTATGTCCCCCTGGGCATTGTAAACCACTCCTCCACCTTTAATCCCTGTCACAGGCCCTCTTCAGGGCTGGCTTGCTTCCTGGCTTCCACCCCAGCTCTCAATTTGGATTCCTTTATGCATGTGTCATGGCCACTGCTGGCATTTTAAAACCATTGTGTCCCATTGTCCTTATCCATAGGACACCTGGAAAGACTTAAACTGAGCAACAAACAAAACGCTTATGGCAACTCTGAAATAAATATCACATCTCTGAAATACTCCCAGCATTGAAAACTTGGGACTGAATCCTCCTGGACAGCCAAGGCAAGAGAACCCTAGCCTTGCCTCCGGCTGTGAGTCTAGTTCCATCTCTTCTGGAGCTCCAAGTTGCTTTTCTCATTCCTTCATCACCTGGGCACGGGCACATGGCCGGACAGACAGCCAGGACAGACAAAGTGCAGTGGCTGAGAGACTGTGGGTTGGCAGAAAGTACATTTTATTGGAGGCCGAGAAACCTGGCTCCCAGCTCCATCCGCTGCTACCTAGACAGCTCAGCCTCTCTTTTTAACTTACAGGTAGAGCAGCTGGACTCGCTGCTCCCTAAGTTTCCTGTAAATCTAAAAAGTTCCTGTCTCCCTTTTGCAGCCCCTTCTCAGAAGGAGAAGGAGCTGAAGCTGAGTCTGATGGACGAGGAAAGCTTAGGTAAGAAAGAAAGATTTCAGGAGGCTTCAAACTAAGATGAAAGCGAATTCAGTAGTCAGTGCAGGTTCCCGTGACTAGACGTTTTGATTTCCATGTAGGGGCAAATGAACATTGACTTCTTCCTCACACCACACACACAAATCATTTCCTTGTGGTTTGCAACTGAAGAAGGTTAAGCAAACACGGGAGAATACCCATATAACTTTGGGGCAGGCAAAGATGCTTGAACAGAACAGATTGATAGATTGGATGTCGGTAGCATTGCGGACTGGTCATTACGAGGCGCCCCTGGGAAGTTAGATGGGAGAAGGTAGGCGTTTGGCTTGGTGGTTAAACCGATGCCGCTTGGGGTGCCCACATCCCATAGTGGAGCGCCTGGTTTGGAGTCCCAGCTCTGTACCGGTTTCCTGCAGGTACACACCCTGGGAAGCAGTAAGCTGCAGCCCAAGTAGTTATTTCCTTCCCAGACTGAATTCCCTTGTCCTGAATTCGTCCTGGCCTAGCCCTGATTATTGTGGACATTTAGGGATGAACCAGCTGATGAGCGATCTCTCTGTCACTCCTTCTCTCTGTCTCTTTGTCTCTCTGTCTCTCTGCCTTTCAAATGAATAAATCAGACTCCCAGCTTTGGCCTGGCTCCCAGCCCTGGCTTCTCTGGGCATTTGGGGAGTGAACCGGTGGATAGGCACTATGGCCGTCTGACTTTCTGTCTCTCTCTCCCTCCTCCCCCATCCCCTTTTCAAATAGTTTTATTTTTTATTTTTTTTATTTGGAAAGTAGAGTCATAGACAGTGAGAGAGACAGAGAGAAAGGTCTTCCTTCTGTTGGTTCACTCCCCAAATGGCCGCTATGGCCAGCACTGTGCCAATCCGAAGCCAGGAGCCAGGTGCTTCCTCCTGGTCTCCCATGCGGCTGCAGGGGCCCAAGGACTTGGGCCATCTTCTGTTGTTTTCCTAGGCCACATTAGAGAGCTGGATCGGAAGTGGAGCAGCCGAGACTAGAACCGGCGCCCATATGGGATGCCGGCGCTGCAGGTGGAGGATTAACTAAGTGAACCACGGCGCTGGCTCCCAAATAGTTTAAAAAATCAATTAATAAGGCCGGCGCCGCGGCTCACTAGGCCAATCCTCCGCCTAGCGGCGCTGGCACACCGGGTTCTAGTCCCGGTTGGGGCGCCGGATTCTGTCCCGGTTGCCCCTCTTCCAGGCCAGCTCTCTGCTGTGGCCAGGGAGCGCAGTGGAGGATGGCCCAGGTGCTTGGGCCCTGCACCCCATGGGAGACCAGGATAAGCACCTGGCTCCTGGCTCCTGCCATCGGATCAGCGCGCTGCGGCCGGCCGCAGCGCGCTGGCCGCGGCAGCCATTGGAGGGTGAACCAACGGCAAAGGAAGACCTTTCTCTCTGTCTCTCTCTCTCACTGTCCACTCTGCCTGTCAAAAAAAAAAAAAAAAATCAATTAATAAATTAAAGGAGGACCTGGTAGAGGTGACTGTGGTTCCATTTCATATGGCTGTCAGACAATGGTCCCAACAACAGAAATAAAAAACCAGGAGGAGGAGTTGGGGTTGGAAGCAAGATGCGTGTTTTTTTTTTTTTTTTTAAGATTTGTTTATTTATTTATTTGAAAGTCAGAGTTACACAGAGAGAGACATAGTCATAGAGAGAGAGAGGTCTTTCATCCGCTGGTTCACTCCCCAATTAGCCACAATGGCCGGAGCTGCACTGATCTGAAGCCAGGAGCCAGGAGCTTCTTCCGGGTTTCCCATGCAGGTGCAGGGATCCAAGGGCTTGGGCCATTTTCTACTGCTTTCCCGGGCCCTAGCAGAGAGCTGGATCGGAAGTGGAGCCATCAGGACTCAAAACAACACCCATATGGGATGCCGACACTTCTGGCAGCAGCTTTACCCACTACACCACAGTGCCAGCCCCAAGAGATGGGTGTGTAACATGTGTTATTCTGAAGTGGGTGCAGACCCCACAAGACAACCATGGGCTCAGCAGAGCTCTCAGGTGCCTGTGAAAGGAAGAGTGTGACAGACATTTCCCAGGCTGGCCCTTGGAGAAGGGAGGGGTGAGGCCGAGAGGACACTGCAGCTGCGGGGGGAACAGCGTAGCAGAGGGTTGCACACCAGATGCAGAGTGGGGGACGGGTGTGCACAGGGAGGTCGAGGGAGGATTGAAAGGCAGCGGCGAGCCGGGGTAGCTGAGGGGACTGAGGAGCTGAGAACAGGGCCCAAGTTGTGGAACCCGGATGCCTGCAGTGAGATCACAAGAACTGTCAGCCTCTCCGGTGACTTAGGCTGCCCTCTGAGTAGCAAGTGGGAGTGGCCTCAGTTTGCGCATAAGCGTGTGTGCAGGAGCCAAGGTGCCCAGGGTGTTGGGCGAGTCGAGGCTGTTCTGAGTCCGGCATGTGTCGTTTCCTGGGGCGTGCAGCTTCGTTTTCTCTCTCTCCACCTGTCAGGTGGCTAGGATGGTATTGAGCTCGCTCGTGTTCTGGAGGTTAAATGAGCTAATGCAGGCAAGGCGCTTGGGATGCAGTAGGTGACCAGTGTCAGCTGAGAGCCTGAGCGTGGCGCGGTGCCCTGGGGGCACAGAAGGAGGAGTTGCTGGGAGAACTGTGGAGGAAAAGGGGCTTACTGGTGGGAGAGGGGGCACTGCAGGGATAGGTAAGGGGACAGGGAATTTTAGGTTGGGAAAAACATCGTCACCAAAACCTCGGATCAGTAAAAACAGAATATTTCCATGTGATTTTCTCGCTGAGCCGATGAGCAGCTCTTCAAGGAAGGGCGAGTCAGCATGTCAGAGCCCTGTGACTTGGAGCAGACCAGCCAGTTCCCTTTGACCCCTTGTGTCCACATCAGTGAAGTTGAAGGGACTGGACCTGTAAAATCCCTCACAGCCGTGAAGCCTTGAGTCTTCACACAAGGAAGCGATTTCTGTGAACCAATGGCGTTGGTACAATGGGATGCCCTATGTGGGGCCAACTTGTGGCTCTGGCCTCATCCACCTCATGCTGTGAGTAGGTGCCCACCTGCAGACGCTTGGGGGCCTTGCCCATGTAGCAGTCAGTATCCCTGGAGAGTCTGGGATCTCAGCAGGTGGACTAAGAAGGCAGCCGCCTCCCAGATTACTCAGAGCTAATCTGCTGTGGGTTTCCAGAAGGGGCCCCCAGTTTTATGGATTCTTGCCTTGAAGTGGGCCCCAAGTGGGCCAAGTAGGAAGGGAAAGAACAATCTAAGGCCTTTTTTTTTTTTTTAATCCACTTCCCTGGCTTGTCCTTGTGCTCACAGACTAAAGGAGAAAAGACAGTGCTGTGCAGCCAGATGGACTGCCAGCGAAACCCTGAGGCTGTCACGGCTGCTCCCCTGCCCTGGCCTCTCGTGACGCTAGCCGAACGCTGGTTGCTTTAACACCAGGATTCCTGCGTATCAGGGCCCGTGTTGAAGTAAGCTGGGACTCTGTGTAGACTCATGTGGGAACAGACTGGCTGTCAGATGGCATAACTTCAGCCATCCTTCGTAGAACGGGGTTCTGCAGCTCCCTGTCCTGCCACTGGTGCCCAGGAGCGAGTTCCAGAGCTCCATGGGAAGGGGCAGTCCCCTGGCTGGAGCCTGGCCACTGAGGGAGACGCTTCCAGACAGCTGTTCCTCCATGGTGGACTGGAAACTAACTTGAAATGGGAGGACCCACGCAGGTGGCAGCTGTTGCAGCCACATTCTGTGCCTTGTGGAGCTTTTGCTTTCTGGAACTGAAAGTTGGGAGGAGGGACTGATTACCTTTGTGTCATCCTTTAAAGGGGGAGTGGCTCCGGGGGGGGGGGGGCGAGAGCTCCAGGAAGGGCAGGTGGCATGGGCGTCTGGGGCTTCCCTGAACTGGAGCTGACTGTGCCACTCTGTGGCATCACGGAGGTCTTAGCAGTTCAGCCTAAGAGCCCCTGAGAGTGTGGACTATGCCCTCTTGTTGCTGTAGTTGTCTGTGGTCGTCTAACAGGAAGTGCCTATGATAAGTTCTAGAGATTCTGGAGGCTCCCATCTTTTGGCCGATGACTGGTCTATGACCCAAGTCCATTCCTGCCACTGAGAAAAAAAAAATCACCAAGGCAAGGGGCAAAGGAGACACGCTGTGTGTCGCAAAGGTGGGGACTGGAGGCTGCGAGGGAGGTGGCCCGGGCTGGCCGCTGTTCCGAGCGGTGATTGATTAATGCTGTCTGTGCTGCTCTCTCCTCCAGAGCTGACCTGCCCCGGACGCAGCCCAACGAACGAAGCAGCTGCTGCAGGATGAGAAGATGGCAGCGCGGCTGCTCGCACCGCCAGGCCCCGACAGCTTCAAGCCGTTCACCCCCGAGTCGCTGGCCAACATCGAGAGGCGCATCGCCGAGAGCAAGCTCAAGAAGCCCCCGAAGGCTGAGGGCAGCCACCGGGAGGACGATGAGGACAGCAAGCCGAAGCCCAACAGTGACCTGGAGGCGGGGAAGAGCCTGCCTTTCATCTACGGGGACATCCCCCAAGGCCTGGTGGCCGTTCCCCTGGAGGACTTTGACCCCTACTATTTGACACAGAAAGTGAGTTACAGGAGGAGCGGTGGCCACAGGTGTCCCCCACCCACCGCCACCACCACCGCCACCACCTCCAACTTCCCAGCAGTCTTAGGGGGAGATGGGCCGGCAGGAAGCACACCTCGAGGCCAGAGTGTGGCCGAGTTGCTCACCATCAGCTTCAGGGCTGGGCTCTGGGGTGATCTGTCCTTGCAGCGGCCGCCCAGGGTCAGCCATGGGTGTTGGTGCTCGTCCATCCCATCAGTTAAGACCTCTGGTTTGGGTTCCAGGTCACACGGGGCGTGGGGAAGAAGAGAACGGTTCAGTGGAGTCCAGAAAACGACGGGGCACCATGCGGGATCACTCGCACCCGCACCAGAGCTGCCTGTACAAAGGAAGCAGCCAGTGCAGAGCATGGGGTGGCCCTTGGGGGGACGTTAGTGCAGAGCCGCCGGGGACAGGGACAAGACAGAGAGTAAAGCAGCACGGACCAGCGAGGAGAGGCACCAGGACCTCGGCCTCAGCCTTGGCTGTCTGGGTTGGTCCAGTTATTCCTGGGGGCTGGGTCCGCAGGTGACAGACAAACCTGTGTTCTTTTGCCCAGGGTTTCCCAACTTCCCAAATGATGATCTGAGTGAGTCTGGGGTTTCTTTCTCACAGTCATCTTCTGAAACAAGGCAACAGGTGGTGAAGTGGACTCTCCTGGGTGCGTTCCCGGTCCCGGAGTTGGCCGTCGTCTTAGGGAACCCCTCGCTGGACAGGTGTCACTTAAAGAGAGGTTTTTCCAGACGAGAGGGGAAATGGCTTTTTGTGATTTTATATTCATAAATAGAGAGGCTTAACTGCCTCTGTTAGCAAAACCATCTCTGGCGACTTTGCTTCATCTCTTCACACTGGGGGGCTTTCAGTGCGACAGAAGTCAAGGCGAGGTGCGGGAATCTCTTGACTTGGCTCTGGCTGTGGGATCATTTTTTAGTCCAGGATGACACAGGCGGTCCAGACGCCAAATGCTCCTTTACCCATGCAGTTTGGCTGCTGCCCAGAACAGCTACACCCTAGGAAGGAGTGAAACTGGTAAACTTTCTCTTCCACTGAGCAATCTAGGAAGTTTAAGGGAGGAAACGTGCCAGCGACACAGGGCACAGGAGATAAAGTAAGAGCTGTCAGCCCCTAAGTCCCCAGGTTTGTTGTTTTTCAGTTTTCCCTTTTTAGTGTAAAGGAGGGGGAAAAAAACTCCAAATGAATGCATGACTTTTAGTAAGTCACTTTATTTTCTTGGGCCTACATTGTTTACTCTTACAACTCAAATGCAATTGAAACTTTATCTTCTTCCACTTAACACATGGAAACCACAGGCAGCTGTCGGCTGTCAGAGCCCAGTTCCCTTCTGCGTGCCTGTTCCTCAGGCTCCTGCCTCTTTCCAGTCCCCGCACCCCAGCTGTCAGCAGCCTGGCCTGGGGTCTCTGCTCTGGTGGGCGTCGGTCCTCTGATGGCCTGGACCATTGCTGACGGTGCTCCGTTAGGGAGCCGGCTCGTCATGATGTATAAAGGCTGATCTCGCCTGTTGGCCCTTACCACAAGGGTTGATTGTTCTGAAAAGGATCACCTTAATTGCATTTTCCTATACTCTTGCCTTTTTTTTTTTTAAGTTTAATATACTTCCACACAGAAAAGTTTGGAAGGAAGAACACTGCTAGCACTTCCCAAGCGGTAATTGTCCTTTGAAGTGAGAGATCTTTCAGTTGATTAAAAAGAATATGCTGGATCCAGTGTGCTCACCATCCTTCGCAGGCATGGCTAACGCTTGTTACTAACCAGGCCTTGTGCCAGCCAGGCCTCCACTGCAGGGACGCACACAGGGAATTAACCCACAAATCAAAAAGAGATATGGGTAGGAATGACCTTAAGGGGACGTCCCTTTCTGCTTGTTTCTCAAGGGCTGCCTTAAATGATTCCAGGCCGGTTCTAGCAGCTCTCTTTGCTGAATGATACAGTGGGAGTCCTTGTTCTTGTCCTTGTGGGCCACAGCTTCTGATTTGTGACTGCTGCGGAGACTTGCTGCTCACTCCCTTCTCTCTCTCTCGTAGTCGGTGAGAATGCGTTCGTTCCCCATGAGCAGACTTCTGGTTTCTCTGCCCCGTGGGTTTCACATTCCAGGGCCCACACAAGGCCCTAACAGTTGTATGTCACGGCTGCTGGCCTGGCTGTCGCAGGCCTCTGGGCGTGTGCTGGGACCCATGGGGCCTTCCCCAGTGCCTGTGCAAACCCGCTGGATGGTCCTCACTGACGAGCCTCAGAACTTTACTCGCCCTTTGCCTCCTGCTACTTTGTCCTAAGTGCCTTTTTCCTTTGGTTGTCTTGTTTTCCAGTTGTCTGCTACAAACGCTTGCATCGAATGTTTAGACAAACGCATCTAATTTTTAAAATAGGTAATTGCACGCTCAACAACTCGGAGATATTCTGTAAAAAGTCTATCCTTCACACCTGTCTCATCTGCCCACGTCTTCTCTGCCTGCACAGGTTAATGCCTGTAGTAGGGTCCTCCAGACCTAATGCACGCACATATACGAGCAAAACCCGCCATGCGTGTTCCAGAACTTTAACTCCCTCAAATGCCTTTGTTTTTGGTTTCCTTCCTTTTTTTAAAAAAAGATGTATTTATTTATTTGAAAGTCAGAGTTACACACAGAGAGAAGGAAAGGCAGAGAGAGAGAGAGAGAGAGAGAGGGGTCTTTCATCCACTGGTTCACTCCCCAATGGCTGGAGCTGCGCAGATCCAAAGCCAGGAGCCAGGAGCTTCTTCCAGGTCTCCCACACAGGTACAGGGGCCCAAGGACTTAGGCCATCTTCCACTGCTTTCCCAGGCCACAGCAGAGGGCTGGATCGGAAGAGGAGCAGCTGGGACTAGAACTGGCACCCATATGGGATGCCTGTGCTGCAGGTGGCGGCTTTACCTGCTACGCCACAGCGCTGGCCACTCCTCCCTTCTGAACGCTGTGGCCTCTTTTCCTTCTTTTATGCTGTGGCACCTCCAGTGTTAGCACTGTCAGCTCTCAGTGCCTCTCTCTCCTCTCCCTCTTTTTTTTTTTTTTTTTTTTAAGTGAACTGAGAGAAGGACTCTGTCTCTCTCTTCACCCCGAAATCACACCCTCCAGTGCTACACGGGGACGTGTGGAATTCTGAATGGCCCAGGGTGTGCCTGAAGACTGCCTGACACGGGCACAGTCAGCGGAAGATCCCCTCCCTGGCTGACCCCCACCCGCCTCCCTGTTTGTTAGAACTGATGACTCCTGTGCGTGTGCCTTTCATGTGGCGCGTTTGCCTTGAGAGAAGAAAGGCTTCTATAAAGGCCAAAAATCCAAATCACAGCACTCTGTCGTGCGTGTAAATAAGACACGGGACTGTTAGGGTGAAAGTACCTGGGTATGGCTTCCCTAGGTCCGTTTTATTGTCTGCAGCTCTTGGTGTGTCCGTTTTCCTGCAAAGTGGGGTGATGGGGCGGGGCAGGGCTGCACTTAGAAGCATAGAACATCACAGTTGCCCGGCCCAGCCCAGCCCAGCCTGCTCATTTCATAGGGGTTTCTCGAGGTTAAGTGCTTTGTCAGAAGTCAGCGCCGCCGTCAGTGGCAGAACCCGGACGATAACCACGCCTCTGCCCCTCTGCTCACCGCAGCGTATTTCTGGCTCACCGCTCTCCTGGTTTTGCATCAGTTGGGGGCCAGCCTCAGTGGGCTCGGGCCTTCTGAAGTTGGGCCGGCAAATAGAGAAAGAACGATAAGCCCCTTTTTCACTTATGCTCTTGGGGGACCCCTGTGGTTTCCTAACCCTTCTTGGGCAGGGCCTAGCGAGTGCTGGGAGCCCCTTCTGCTGGGAGGGTGGGATTCGCGTTGTAGCCAGCACTGCGTCTTCTCCCGCAGCAGCCCCCACAACAGCCTGTCCCAGGGCCCGGGCTCAGCATCACCACTTCTGGGGTTCAGCTAGGCCTCGAACCTTGCGTGACCTGGAACCTCACCTCCCCACCTTTGTCACTTTTCAAAGCAGATTATCCTTCCCGCGACGCACACACTGGCCATAGCCCCTCCCCAGATTGTGGCAAGGGGGCATGGTAAAAAGAGCCCCCAGCTAGGAAGTAAAGCTTTGGTTTTTGTTCCCACTTTGCCTGGGCCAGGTCATTTAAGCCCTCAGAGCTTCAACTCCCTTCTCTGCGGTGCACACTGTCTGCGTCTTTGTCAGTGAACTTCATGCTTTTGCCTGAAACAGGTGATGTGTTAGCTGCGGCAGATAACTTTACATTTGTGTAGTGTGCCCCTCCCAACCCCCAACACACACACACACACACACACACACACCTGCTGCATGTTCCGTCATTTAAGTTCACCTCTGGCATCCCACCCATCTGTCTGGGCCCAGTGCACGGTCCCTTGCTTCCCTCCAGCCTCTGCTGGTGGTCCTACACCAGTGCCGATTGTTGCTTCTGGAGCTTTCTCATACACTAAGGTCTCCAGCCCTGTCTCAAGTAGGATTCTCGTTTTCGATTTCACTCGTATTAGGTGTGGCCGAGCACCTGTGTTCCCAACGGTGGTTACAATTTTCTCCTGACCATCAACTCCCTCAAATAAAGAACTCTTAAGTGACACACACACACACACACACACACACGTACACACGTGAACTCCTGGCTAGAAATTTTTCCCCAATCTATCTCACAACCTTTCAGTAGGTCCAGGGCAGAGAAAGGTGGTTAAAGCAGGATTCGTGTTCATCACCTGTGTCTTGAAGTGTTGCTGATGAGTTGTTGCATTGGGTCTTTCACCCAACAAGCCGAGTTGCTTTATGCTTTATCTAAAAGTAAATGTTTTTAAACTTCGATTTACTTTGTTGTTAAAAAGTCTTTTTTTTACCCCAATAACAAAAGAAAACAAAAGGAGTTTTGAAGTTATTCTATCTTCCAAATAAAATTGAATATTTGGGAGCCCTTGAGATGTGGGCCATTGTCAGGATGATGGATCCATTAATGGCAGGCATGG